AGTTTTTAGTGAAAATAGTTTCCATTGCTGCTGCTAGATGGCGCCACCGATAGTTTATAATTAAATATTCTTTATTTTTCATAAATGCATAATTAATACGATTCTTTGCTTTATAATACTACAATATATTAGTTTGGATGTCGTATTTAGTTATTGTTATGGATATTTATTTAATACAGAATTAATTATCGATCCTGTATTTAGTGGCGCCATCTAGCAGTAGCAGTGGGAACTATTTTCACTACAAACTTGAGCGTTTTTCTACCGATGGCGCCACTGGCGCTGTATAACTAGTATTAATAAAATATTTTTTAAATTGAAAAATTTGACATAATTACACATGTCTTAACCACTTTATTGTTTCATACACTTATTATTTAATGTTATTTTAAGTTAATTACAAGGAAAATTAAGTATTATAAGTGTCAAAAGAACATGTCAATGAAAAATTAGTTTGTCCTACTGACCGCGAGATGGCGATACTTTACTTGTGCCCATAAATCGAGCAAGCATATGCATATATATGCAAAATCAACAAATTTGTTTAGATAAACAAATAATTGTAATACCGTATTTTATGAAATTCTTATTACATAAGTTCGTATATTTGTATATTTATTTAAATGATATATATGATACGAATGTATTGAAATTCAGTGATGTGTATTTATTAAATAACAATCTATCTAATGTGTTACCATAATTAAATAATGTCTGTCTGCTGTTTCAAATGGCGACAGAGGAGCATAAACATTTGGCTGATATTATAAAAAACATTCATGCAACATTACGGGAAGAGGCTCAGAATTATGGCCCTGATGTTGCATGGAAGAGACATATAACTCACAAAGATGTTTTACAGGTTCATTTTTTTTATCAAGTAAATTTTTTATTTAGTGTTATGTTATATTGATCTTGTCTTTTCCTGTTTTAGAAGTATGCTTCTTCTATGGAAAAATTGGCAACTACATATTGGATGTCAAATAATTTAAATGCAGAAAGTGTGATTCTCTGTAGAGTGGAATGGATTACATCTCAATGCAAGGAGTACTTCTTAAACGGTGGACGACAGAAATATGATGAAAGGGAAGAAGACATCAAAAGAAAAATGAGTACAAATTGTACAGAAACTGAACATTCTTCAAATTGTAATTTAGATCTTAAAAGTAAGGAAAGTTGTACATCAGAAAATTTGGATGATACTCTTCGAGGATCAACTGATAAAATAATGTTATTAGATGTAGGAAGCTGTTACAATCCTTTTGGGAATATAAATATGTTTGATGTAACTGCAATAGATTTAAATGGTATACCAAACAAAGTTTTAAAGTGTGATTTTTTAAATGTTCATATCGGAAAAGAAAAGATATTTTCCGACGACAAGGAAGAAATGTTGCAATTAGCGGAAAGCTCGTATGATGTAATTGTATTTTCTTTGTTTTTAGAATATTTACCATGTCCTAAACAAAGGTACGTTTGCTGTAAAAAAGCGTACGATTTGTTACAATCCCGCGGTATACTTTACATTATAAGTCCTGATTCAAAGCATGTTAGCGCGAATGCTAAACTTATAAAATCATGGAGATATGTATTGAGTAAATTAGGATTTATGAGAATAAAATACGAAAAGCTGCGACATATACATTGTATGATATTTAGAAAATGTGTTCTTAAATGTGTAGCGTTGAGATGGGCGAATTTGCAAACGATACCCGAAAATGATCCTCTGTATGAAACCGCTACTGCTATTTATATTCCTCAGGATTTTCGAAATGTGTCCAGTGAAGTTAAACAAAATGAAAAAAAAGAGTATAATGTAGACGAAATTACTTTTATGTTCGGCGAGTTACCTTTTGACGAAATGTAACGCTAAAAAACATTGATTTTGTAAGGCTTTACTACAAAGATTGTAAATTGTATACAATGTATGGTTACGGAGTATATACCAAGAAAGAATAAATATACATAAGTTGTTTAATTACTAATTATTAGCGTTCCATAATTTAAAAAATCTCCAGTAAGAATTGTATTTGTTTATGGATCCTATTCGACCCTGTTCGATACCCTATTTCATCAGAAACAGCACCCTCTATATTACTAAAAATTCTCAAGTTACTAGTCCCTATAAAACGAAATAATGTGAACGAGATAGGAGGTAGTCCATATTGTCCGCCATTTTGTATGCCTTTCTTTTCGTAGATCACGTAGATCGTGCACGTGGTGAGTGTCTTTGCTGTTTAATATGTTAGTAAATTATAGGTTTTGTTGTTTGTAACTACTGTAATCGTAAATAATGTTCAATAATAAATAATTTCATTAAAATTAACGAAGTGACTTAATAATAGCAATTGGAAATGTAACGTTTCGTAGTTAATAAGCGTGCAAGTTGGCTGTTAACCTTCATACACGTTAACATAAATTGAATTTTGCCGATAAATAGAGTAGCAAATGAATAAATAATTGTTTCAGATCGTTCAAGATGTCGTCCCAATTGAATTGGATGATTATTCGTAATAACAATGCTTTTCTTTTGAAAAAGCGTAATATCAATAAGCCGTTTTCTACGGTAAGCACCATAATTCGCCAATAATGTTTATAAATTTTATCGAGAATTAGTAAGTTCAACAGTAATTATACGGAATTTCAGGAACCAAACAATTTGACCAACCTTAGTAGCTATCGTTACTCTGGTTTAATTCATAGGAAAAGTGTTGGAGTTGTTGACACGCCAGACAAAAAGGGATTCACAGTAGTTTACAAAAAAGCAAAAGCAGTTAACAAGCCTGCAAAAGCCACTGTTCGGTGTACGATGAAAGCTGGTGCCCGTCGTTCTTTGTATAAATTGAAAAGATTGCTGTCAAAGAACAAATATCGCGTTGACTTGACCAAGGTACATTGACTTATAAGACACAGTTAATTTAATTAACGCTATATTTTTATAAAAATCATTTCCAGGTTGCTTTACGTCGTGCCAGTGCTGTATTGCGTTCCCAAAAGCCATTACCCGCTAAAAAAACTCGTGCAACCAAAAAGGCTGATTAATTTCTGTACATTAATAAATATATGTTTTAATGTAAGCCTATAAAAAAGTCATACCGCAGAGAAGTCGTATTTAAATGTAATATATTGGTAGTAAATGTGTAATACGCCTCCTTTGCAGTTATGTCCAGCGTACTTATTTTAATAAATCCATTAAAAAGGTAGATTTGTATATGTATAGATGTGTAAGTGTACTCAAAAGGTGAGTTGTACTATGTATTTGTTTTTGTTTTAATAATACATGCAAATCATCTGTGTTTATTATTTTGGTTACAGATTTCAAGAAGTGTACAAAGCTGAGTCTGTTTTCAATGCAGGTAAAGTATACTAAATTGTTTATTTAAATATTTCTAAGTTACTATGATGAAATTTGCAACCACCAAGATCTCTGAATGCCATGATTAGTAGTATTTGCTAACTGAACAAAATTTCTTGTATCAAGTTTTTCAATAAAAATAATATATGATTGCTAATCGAACATAATT